CCATGGGCCCACAGCACCGTGACAGCAGTAAATCACTCCTCAACCCTCACCTACCCCACTACAAGGCTCGCTGTTGTCTCGCGTTTACATGCAGTTCGAATATGGTAGCGTAGCGCGGATTTCGACAGTCCGTGAATGCGACTGTAAAATATAATTTGTAAATAGAAATTTTTGTATGTCTTTATTCCTGAACTTTTGACGGTATTTTTACAGCGCACAGTATATGCCGTGACAATGTGGTATGGCGATGCCACTTGTATCAGTTGTTTACAGTACCGGCTGCGATAACAACACAAGACGATAGAGGTAGGGGAGGACAATGGGGAGGTAGGGAGGTAGGACAATGGGGAGGTAGGGAGTCCTATGTGGTTGAGCGGAGGACACAAATTCCTCAACGCTCTCGTTGTATTACCCGTTCCTTCCTCCCTCTCTGTTTTGAGGGAAAAATCATGGTTAATTGGGCATAGCTAACTGCAGAGAAAGCTCTGCGCAACCTTCCAAAGTAGTCAGTGATTATTTTTTGAAAATAATTCGATAAGTGAACAGATCAATGTCACGAATGTAATTGAATAATTTTATCAGCCTAAACTATAGTTTTGGAGATTTCTTCAATGTGCAAACGTATTTTTGAGCCAGTCAATTTTTCAGTAAGAAACTAAATGATCGTAGTTGCTAATAATCATGAACAGCCTGAATGATCAGAATAGACTGGTGGACACTGTTCGCAGTGCACTGAATTTATCCTGTCTGCAGCGAACGGTTCATCTATTAGTGAAAAATAAGCCGCTCTCTGCAGTGTAGATGAGAAATTTTGCGCTAACTCGGGAAATAGGGAGAATTTAAATAGTAATGAAAATGTTTACCTCGACGTAACTAAAAAAATCTATGCACAATTAATGTGCAGCTCATACTTCACTATTCTCGCGCACCTTCGGCCACGTCACTATACGCTGCCAGACGCTGCCGCTGAAATTTACACTGCTCTCGCCCAGTGTGCCGAGTTTAGAGTTGGAGCGTCCGTGAACGGGCCTCATTGAACTAAACTATGATTCACGGGCCCTTGTTGTGATGAATATCGCTTATTTTAACGCTTGGCTTGACATGTAAACGATAATTCCCTGGTCTCTAATACATGTTCCTCGTAATTGAACAGTTTTTCTCAAGCCACAGCCAGGAATGTGATATCATACAATTAAATAAACGCCTTAGTTAATTTCCTCTAGTTACCTTGACTTTTTATTTTGTGAAAGGAAACGATCGAGTTGGCTTTGCATTTAAATTTCAGCTCTGTTCATTCATCAAATTTTAGGAAAGTTTTCGGGCGATAAAAAACCAACCTTTGACAACGTTTTCACGGTATAATTGGATATGGGTGCACATTTTATAAAGATTCGTGGTTTATGATGCAGTGACGATAAATAATATTCCTTTTTAAACCCGCCGATATAATCAAATTTCACAAAAAGCCAATGACATCTTCAGTAAAGCATAACAACAATCACAGAAGGACCGTAGTGTGCAGCATTAACGACATATTCAGGCCACAATATGTTAAATTCGTCAGAATTTTTGTTAGAAGAATATAAGAAAATTTTATAATGATTATAATTAAGCATGAATAATTGTTATATAAGCACGAAACTATTTATTAGAATATTTTAGGGATAGTAAAGCCTCCATAAAATAGGTCTTTTGACGCCACTGACTGCAATGCAAAATGCGCATCAGGATAATCAGACGTTGTATGGAATTTTTTCTTAAACAGGATCAGTACCTACAACAAATGTGAGGTGAAACGACTGTACAGAACTGGCCGAGTTTCCACAGTAAGTTTTGCTCTGCGGTGTTGGGGACCAGCTGGCTTGACAGCCTGGGACGTGCTCAGTGGGCGAGATGACGCGTTTCATAATTTCTTTACCGCCCTGAAAGTCTTAAAGCCATTACTGACAACTTACTTTGAGCGAAGTTATCGAAAGGACACGTTGTTTCACTTAATTTCATTATTACATCCAATCTTTTGGACTTTTCGAAATTAAAATTAATTTTAAAAATGGCATATGTTGAATTCCTGGTTCTCAAATGCACTTTTCTTTTATATTTCGTTCGCCTGAAGCCTGCGTGTCACCGACATTTTACTTTAGTTTTTAAAGCATCTCGACTCTAGAGTTTCAGTTGCGGTGTTAGCTCTAAGGTGAACAGAAGGAAATGTTTGGTACGTGTGTTTTAATTCTGAAGATCCGTGTATCATATATACAGTGGGGGGAAATAAATATTCGTACACTTGAAAAATCGTATTTTAATGTATGTAAGTACACAAACTTAACAGGAAAAGTGATTTAAATTATGTATAGAGACGCATAGTTGTTTTTTGTTGCATTGAGATTTAATTTCTTTTGATAGTATTTTTGAATACTATGCGTCTCTATACATAATTTAAATCACTTTTCCTGTTAAGTTTGTGTACTTACATACATTAAAATACGATTTTTCAAGTGTACGAATATTTATTTCCCCCCACTGTATATATTCGACTTTTATCGTGTTCCATATTCGAAATGAATGATTTTACTTCTCGATCATACATTATGTGCAATACTAATTTTACGTAACCCTTTTTTACCTTTGGATATTGATTTGTTTACAGAAATAGATTTTATAATGACAACGGAACGAAAAATCGGGTATTCAAATCCTTCGCAACGAATATTCGTAAAAATATCAATTTACAATTAAGTAAATTGATGTTATGTGACTTGTATATACAGAATGGCATCATGAAATAGAAGTATAATTAGTTAGGGAGAGGTCACACATGACATTGAAAGTTTACCAAGCATAACTGAGGTAAATATTGCCATGATGACGGCATAAACAGCATGCAAATAAGGCGTACGTAACTACTCTATTTGACGTCTTGAGCGTATGCAACAGTAAACGTATTTGCTGCTTTGATGTTGAGTCGCATTTTCGGAGGAGTTTAGCGACTGCTGAAAATGAGACGAAGGTTTAGAGTTGTATCAGGGCATCAAATAACACAGGAGTTGCCCCTTTGATTAAACTCCTTTTTTATCACAAGCTTGCCATAGAAAACGAGATTGGATGTGTTACACAAACACCGTTGATGGAATGCCACAAATGTGTAACTGGTTTAGTGCTTTTTATAATCGTCAGTTTTCTTCACTAGCGTTCAGTAAATAATGCCTAGTTCTCCAAAATGGCTCTTCTATAATTAACGTTTAGCTCGCCCAAATGACCCTTCTACTATATAATGTTCTGTTCGCAGAAACAACATTTTACAAAATGCATTGGGCACAACTTAGCGTTGAAATATCATATCATCTAATAATATTGTCGGCGTTGGAGAATAGGCTTGGGGTGGCATTTCTTAGATTCTTGTACTTTTCTTGACTAAAAGTACTCATGTATTTTTCGTGACACAAGATATTTAAAAATTGGCCTTCTGACCGGATCTTTTCAAAACTGACGTTGGCTTGAAATACCTACTAGACTTCCACCAGTTTCGATATGGTGCTAGGCATTTCAAGTCTGAACATACGTATGTTTCTCCACAGCTTCATCTGGGTCTGTTCTTAAAATCGTTCATACTTGGAGCGTAAACGATGTTATCAAGGAGGCTGAAGAAGTGCTGTCGCAAGGATGAGTTGCACCGCAGTTCTTTAGTTTTTAGCCGTGGCCCCTGGGAAGCTGGATTGGTTTTGGTTTCATATTTTAGTAATCCTTTTGTTACCTTGTAAAACCATGAGTATACTCGTACTTGTATACTTCCATGAGGTCACCCCGTAGACGTCAATAACATAAACTTGGATGCTTTATAATCTTAACAAGTTGCGAAACGCAACTTGTTAAGGCGGACAAAACGAAACAAGTTTTGTCCGCCAGTACGCGGACAAAAAGGCCTGTAATTCAATATATACTAGTTAATTTGTAGGTAAAAAATTCAATTTTTCTGTTTTGGTAATCTCTAAAATATAATAAGGAAGTGACACCATCATGAATTTTTGCCCGCTAACACAATTAAGTAAAAAATGTAAAAACTAAAACTAAAAACTAAATCGCAGAATTTCTCCTTAAAAAAAAGACCCTGCAACCCACCGCTGGGCCGTATCGCATTCAACGTGTTTCAAAAGTCATCATCTTTTTTCAAAAGTCTTGCCCTTCAAGCCTGGAATTTTCCATGTTGCGCGTCTTTGAACACTCCCGACTAAATTTTTGTTCTTGTCAAGTTTTCGTGGCCACACGGCGTTTCCAAACTCTAGGTTCGGACGCAAGAAGCGGCAAACAACTGCGTCATCACTTCTGCATCAAGGCACTCGTAATAGCGTCTGATCAGTCCAAGAAATTTATCAGATTTATTAGCTAGCGTTTCAATACGTTTAGAAAATTTGAACTCTGCCGAAATAAACTCCTAAATAGTTTTTCCAATGTCGACTTCGCAGTCATCATTCTCTCGTTGCAAACATGTCTTCTCATAGTGTAATCTTGCTGTACATTGTTCATACCTAGGCGAAATACTTTTATTTCATGGTTGAAATTAATACTGTATTAATTCAACCATGCTTTTACTTTACACTTTTCAGCAGTAAAATGCAGCTGCCGCGCATCAGTAAATCAGCATTTCTATACAATAGGAATCTGGGGATAGGTCAGTTAGCCAAGTTTTTTTTTAGCATTTAAATATAAAGAAACTTGATCGAACTTGACCTAAACTTTTCTAACTCTGTCTATTTATGTTCTAACTCTAACTATAACGAACAATTTCCCGAATCAGCAACGAAATGCCTATTCTTCAGATTCAGCAAACTGGCTGAACACAGTCGTTACACAATTGCCGATTCCATAGAATTGGCAATTCAATTCCGTTATTTCGGCACGACATGTACATTCAAATGATGAACCGTTTGATTCATAACTTTTTATTTTCAGCTCATCGTAATGTACATTAAAAAATTAATGTAATGTGTACTACTAAAACAACGAGCCATTACATTGAATTTATTATTAAAGATTTTATTACAGTAATTCCATTAAACGTCTATAAACATCTTATAATAAATGATGCACAATTTGCATGAATTTATGACAGCAAGACGGGCGCAAGCGAGGCGGCCTCGTCTAGTGGGGGAAATACCCATGGCAGCAGGGCCACGAATATGACTCTTCTCTTAACTACTTAATTTCTAAACAACAATAATATTCATGAATTCAACAATTCAAAAGTCTTCAAAAAAATTAAAGCCTATGTTTGATTATTAATATGTTTTTCATGTACAATATATTCTTCTTTTGAACTATTTTACATCACACATTAGTACGCATGTGCAAATCTGAAGCATGCTCACAGGCCGACAATATTTACAAACATTTTTATTTTAATACTTTTCTAATATATTAATATTATTTCACAATTTTCAACATTTGTGATACTTTGGTGTGCTAGAGAAAAAAGCGACTTATGACGAGAAAAAAATCATATAAGATCAATATACGTACGAGTAAATTTCGTACAGAATTTTATGATAGCTTTCGGCAAAGATCATAGTTAGGGAAATGCTGAGATGAGATGATAGACTGTTAAATTTCTATATACCCAAGAGCGGGAAGGTTCCACAAGTCTCCTGAAGTCCATTACACTTGTCATGTCTTTATTTCCACTATCTGAATTAGTAAGACTAGAGCTCTAGAGTATCCTCTTTATTGCGTTTTCGCTTTCTTGAAGATATGACGACAACCATTACCGTGATAAATATTATTACTAGTGTTGTGAGACCCAATACGAAATTAAACGAACCCGCCGGGATATTATTTTCGGAAATAGTGGTGGGTTCATCGAATTCATTGTCGAGGTTTTTTATGCTAGTTTGAATTTCTGAAGAGGAGTAAGTAATGAAGTCATAATCATCATTAATTGGTACTTCTTCGACCAACGACTCAGCGTCTGATAGAAGGTATGTATGGAACGGCACGCCTGTTTTGTCAGGAATCACTAACGCTCCATCTTTTTCCACGATGTACGGGGTGCCACGCTCGATATTTGAAAAAGTTGAAGCCTCTTCACCATCCTGGCTGGCGACCACTGTCAGCTTTTTGCCACCCACGGTCACGAGGATGCTAGAGTCCGGCAGCCCACGGCGACTCCTCTTGCGTGGTCGCGGAAGTGGCTGGAACAAATCTGTAAGCACGAAATTAGTATGATGGTTTGCGTGAAAAGACAATGCAGTTTGTCGATTTAATCGTACTCATATTCAACGAGGCCTGAAATAAATAATATTAAATGAGAATTTTGGGATCCTACTTTTAATAAGTGATGATATACATCGAAACATCGAATTTCCTTCACAAATCATTTAATTATGCTGTATAGTTTTCCTCTTTTCTACAACTGCGTATAAACGGTAAATAATGGGTGAATTAAATTTTCAATAACAGTTGCACTAATTTCTAGCGATTAAATATACTCACACGAATGGAAGGCATGGTATCTGGGATCCATTCCTTTGCCATGAAAATCGTCCTTGCCGTGCATCATTTCCTTTGGTCGAGGTTTTGGTTTTGCTTTTTTTGTGTCCGATGTAATTGGTCTACTTTCTTCCCTCTGCAGAATGGGTTGTGGTCGTTTAGTGACGGGTACTGGCAGAGACTCGGGGGGGAATTTATGAGGTCTTTGTTCAGTAACTTCTTCGCTTTCTTTTTTACGGGGTGGCTGTGGACGACGACGTGAAGTCAGCGGCCTCCTACTAAAATCAGGGGTCGATTGAGTAGTAGTGGGATATCGCCTAGATACGGTGGGCGTGGCAGAGGTGGTGGAACGCAAATATCTCTGGGTGGAGGAACTCGGAACACGAGAGGTGGTCACTGGCACCTTATTAATAGGTCTCCATGATGTAGGTCTTTCATATTTTTGTGTTGTTGGCTTAGAAGCAACGGAGAAGAACGGCACCGAAGGTTTTTTCGGACTTGGTGGTAGTTCACCACTTTCTTTGAATTGGTGAATTTTCTCTGTATCTTCTGGCCTTTGGGGACGTGGTTGTTTTTCAGGAATAACGACAGGGGCAACCGGTCTTTCATCAATGATTACTTCTAATGGGGTATAAGGTTCTATTGGGAAAGGAGGGAAATCTGGTATCTCTACTGGTTTAGCAGTCGTCGTCCGAGATCCAAAGCGTGATGGAGTAATTTTGGAAGATGGCAACGAAGGCCTTGGACGACTTGGGAACTTTGGAGGAAACACGGGGACGCTTGGCGGTGTTTGTGCATATGTCGGTCTAGCTGGAGGGACTACTTTTTTAGGCTGTGAAGGCCTCTGAGTAATTTGAGGTCTCGATGTGCTCCGATCAGGGGATATTTTATCCGCACCCTCAGGGACCAAAGGAACTTTCGGAACAGAAGAGGGCCTGATGGGTTCAACAGGAATAGTTGGGGCTTCAATTTCATATTTTGGCGTCGTTGAAGGTCGAAGAACACTTGGACGAGTTGGTATTAGATTTTCTTTATTAAAAGGAATGTCTGGCTCAACCGTTAATGGAGGAATTATTGGCGGGAACACTGGTGGGGGGTGGTTTTCTTTTATTTGTGTTTTTTCTTTTATTTTCTGTGGAGGCCTGAACTGCTTAGGAAGTTCTGGTACAACGGTTTGAGTAGTTTTTAAATCAATAGCACACCCGGAGTCTGTAGACCCTGGACTGCATGGTCTGCGATGATCTACTGGTGGACCACAACCAGGTTCGTTTGGATTGGCGCATTTTTCAGTCGGACGCTGAGAAAGGCTTGGTACAATTGGATGAGGCTCGATGGGACGCTTTGGATAAACTCTTTCCTTACATCTTGAATCCTGAGGATTTTCTGAGCATGACAAAGGTTGTGATGGATCCCTTGGCTTATCAAGCACATCGATATTCATTTCAATCGGTTTTTTAACTTTTTGACAGAGTGGGTTATTAGGGTTGTTTTCACAAGTCACGTGGGGTTCTGGAAGTCTTGAAATACATTCAGGTCTTTTTGAGCCTGGAGGACATTCATCTGGCGCTGTGCAACGGGGATTTAGTGGATTTAATGAACAATCTAAGCGTATATCATCTCGAACGCATTTTGGATCTGTAGAACCAACCTCACAACGAGGGGACACGTCAACTATGATAGGAGGAGGAGCAGGAGCCGGTGGGAACGTCGGAGGGAAAACAGGTGTTATTTTGGGAGGCACTGCCTTGCGAGGAGGTTCTATCCTTGCCGGAGGTAATGTTCCTACAGTAAAAACACTAATGGGTGTAGTAACAGGTGGTAAGTATACAGGTGCGGTTTTCAGAGGTCGGTAAGTAGTAGTGGTTGACTGGGAAGTTGGCTGTCGACTTCTTGTGGGAAGGGTTGTAGAGGGAATCCTTGAAGAGGGCGTCGTTAGAATGGTCGACTCGCGGGGTGGAGTATATATTGGAGGTCTCTCTACTTTTAGCTTCTCCGTTGTAGATGGAAACGTCGGAGCCTTAAATTTTGGGACAAATGGTCGAGGTTGTGTGATTTGTGGCCTTGAAGTGATGACTGCAGTTACCTCAGTTACTGGTGGAGGTGAAAATGGAATTTTGGGGGCCAGAGTCGAAAGTAAAAAGGGTTCTTGAGGAATGCGATACGTCGGTGTAGTAAACAGTGGGATAGAAGGGAAAGAGCGTGGGGGGAATGGAGTTTGGGGATGTAGCCTAGGTGGGATAGGTCCTACGGGCGCAACTGTGACGGGAAGTGGAGGCTGAGGTTCCGTAAGTTTTGAGCATCGAAGGTCAGAAGGATTTCTCTTGCAATATGATTCGTTCTCGCATAAAGGATCATTTGGATTTTCCAAGCATAAGTCAATTTCTTGTGGCCTTTTGGGTACTTTCGGCAGATTGCATCTAGAATCTTTTGAGTCTGGTAAGCATTGTTGCTCAAGTGTTTCAATAATTTCTGGTATGGGAATTTGAGGCACTTGAGTGTACTCAGGACAACGAGGGTCTGTAGTACCTGGGGAGCAAATCAATTTCTTTATTGTGAGTGGAACCAATTGTGGACAATTAGGACTTGTTATTCCAGGGATGCATTTCACTTGAACAGGTGCTTGTGGGGTGGTAGTGGCATACGTAAATGGTCGTTCTGTTGGTTTCGTTAAGAATGTTGATTCTCTGTGAGCTTTTGTACATTCGGGATTTTTTGATCCTATGTAGCATCCTTCAGGCTTTGTGAAAGACGACTGCGTCACAACTGGGATGCAGTCTGGTAATTCAGGGTTTAAGATGCAGCTAATTTTTTGTTCTTGAACTTTACATATGGGATCTGTTGAACCGGGCGGACATAGAACTTGAAGGGGGGTATCTGGAACGACAAGACTGTATGCCGGAATTTTGAAGACATTCACCCCGGAGCAACCGGGATCATTTGAGTTTGGCCTGCAGCTAGTTTTATCCAAAATTGAGGTTTCAGGAATTTTTGGCTCTATTGTTTCCACACAAGATAGATCTTCTGAGCCCGGCTCACATTTTATTATATTAATACTTTGCCTACATCGAGAGTCTGTGGACTTCTTAGAGCAATCAAAAGGTATAACGCTAGGCTCTTTTTCTACTGCACATTCTGGGCTGAATGGATTTGTCGAGCAATCAACTACGGTTGGTTCAGGAGGACGGCATCGTACATCACTTGAGCCAGGTTTACATGTGAACTCATCGGAAGTTTTGGGTTTTAAGCAAAGTGGATCAGGAGACCCTGGATTGCAATTTAGCGGAATTATTTCAGGCCTGCAAGCCGGGTCATTGATACCTGGGTAACAATTGGATTTCGGCGTTTCTTTGTTGCATGCGGGGTCAGTGGAATCTGGGTAGCAATTATCAATTGAAATAAATTGCCCTCGACACTTCGGATCTGTTGATCCATTCTCACATTTTGGTGTTCTCTCTGTCAAGCATCTTGGATCATTTGGATTTTCAATACATCGTGGAAGTCCTGGCTGCTCTTTTTTCTTGCACTTGGGGTGATTTTTGCGAGTCTTACACCAATTTTCAGCTGATTTCTCGCGACAAGCAGGATCTGGTGATCCCGGATAGCATTCGAGTTTTGCCAACTCAGTCCTGGGAGTTGTGTATGGCTGGACTTCAGTCGTAGGTCTCGTAGGCCTCGAAACACAAGTTTTTTCGCATTCGTTTTGACAGATCTGCGAGGAAAAGTACGCAAACCGGTTATGACGAAAACATCATTAATATTGAGAATATATTTAAGAAACCCATGCAATATTGAAGGAACCCAAATGTCATGAAAATAATCAACGCTGTTTAGATTGTAATTTGATCCTTGACGTGTGAAGGATCGCCTTGACTTCTTTCCGAAAATTTTTCAAGATTAATATACATTTACATTTAATATTACAATTAATATTATACTACCCTAAATTTAATGTTAAAATTTGTCTCGTGCTATCAGTTCTCAGTTGACGCACTTATTCGGGTAATTGTTCAAATCTTCTTTGATATTTTTTTATTTACAATGACCTACCTCGACGTTACAGGTAAGGTAGATCTGCGGGTAGTCGGGGAACTTGAAAGCAGAAAGTTTGCTATAAGTTACGAGTGTCGACCCCGCACCAGATTCTTCGTAGCGGCTCTGCCAGTTGCCCATCAATTTTTCCTTCCTTAGCCGAGAAGAATTACGATGTTTGTTAACAATATAAATTTCCAATCTGGCTCATCACTGAAAATAACTTGGCTTCAACGTAAGAAGAAATTGAACGAAAATATGGTTGAAAATTAACTTGAAAATATTAATTACATATATAACATATACAATTTAATCAAGACACACATTTCGCAATAAATTAGTATTCGATGCAGCCTGAAGTGTTTACTAACAGAGGGCAGCCATCGAACGATGTTAGCTGCACTCGAGGCAAGTTTCTGTCATCGAAGTCATCGGAGGGAAGGGCCCAGCAGTCTCTCACACCCACGTCCATTCTTTTCTCTTTGTCCTCGAGGAAGACCATGACGGACACGTCTTCTCCTATGGGCAGTACTCCTTCCAAAGGACGGGTCTGTCATAGTCATGACGATAGCTTTACTATTTACGACAAATTCTCAGTCATTTTGCATATATTAAATCATACTTAAATAATGATAACAATGTTGCACTCTTCTTTCACACAAAAAACACTGACTGAAGCATTTTTTCTGTACAAACTAAAAAAATACGTTGCGCGTTATATTTAAAATGTACTATTTTTATTCCTGCCACTCATCAACGAAAATTGAAAAAAGAACAAATACTTTTATATCGAAGTCTGAGTAACTTCGGCACTAATGTTTACTATATTTAAACATGCTACAGCACGAAACTTAATCTAAATTGAACTGTGCTTAAAATGGTGACCTTATTCCTAAAAACAAAATTAGAGAACTTAGAAAACACATTTCGCTCACGTTTGGGTAAATGCCACGACGGATGTCCATCCAGCATTTCAATGGCTCTCCCTTGAAGTCACTGCGTACGACATCGAGCATTGCAATGCTCAAGGGCTTGAAATTCACTTGTTTGCTGTAGTTGTTCCTCCAGGAACAAGATATGCGCCGAGCTGTATCCCAAACTTCCTGCAAGCACAATAAAGAGTTTGGGCATATTACAACTTACAGAACAAGTAAATATGGTATGAACTGAACTAAAGAAATAAAAATGCTCTAAGATTGCAATTATTTTTTTTTACTCGAGTTAACTGTTAGTGTTGTATGAATTTCTTAGCTTCATTTCATTTTTCGAAACATAATGTGTTTCTTTAACGACGAACCTCATTAACAGCATCTAAAATACCTTGTGATGAATGTTGAGTATTAGTAAAATATCTCACGTGAGAAATAAGTCTGTTTTATTGGGCCTATACAATCATTTAAATATCTGATTTATTCTGAAGTACGCGCAGTAAATGTCTTCCATTGTCAGGGCCTAGAAAGGTTCTTGCTCGTTTCAACACGTCCTGTTGAAGGTTTACTGCAGTCATGTACGATTCAAACGATTTAGCAAACCTCTAACAGAATTAATATGAGAATGCGTTACTTCTGATTTGCCAGAGTGAGCCTTGTTTAATTAATCAGAAGGCAAAAATTGACGTTGCAACAGCGTATATATAATAACCTAAAGCCCATCTCAACCTAGCCAAACCAAATATGACATAAGATATTGAACATTCTGGAATTTGAAAAAAGAGTGAATACATTCGGGGCAAATTAATATAAATTACATATGGTAAATAAACTCTTTAATGATGACTGGATAAATAATATAGGTGCAAATCTTAAAAAAAATTCTGATTCCTCGAACGTCGTTGTTGCAATTTTTGTATAAAACATAAAATACTAGACATAATAAAAATAATCTCAGTTCTGATGCTTGATGAAGAACGCGGCACAATTTATCGGAGAGATAAGGTCAGATTTTATACGACAATTTTCTTGGCTTTTCACGTACTGCTAACATCAGTTCGCTGGGTCCTCTTACTTTTGTGCGTGGCGTCTCTTTGTTCAGTTGATGATCTAAATTTTGAATTTGTTTGAAATAACTTAAAAAGCTCCTCAGCTGACAGTAAGCGCTTATTGAAGTCGTTGGGACGACTTATCTTGACGCCATAACGTATCAAGAATTATTGCGTTCATTTTGTTCGCGATGAGTTTCTCTCAAACGCTTCACAAAGTTTTCACTTCAACTTTGAATTCGATAATTCGGAAATAATTTTCATCTTTCAAAAATAATAAACATTATGTTTAAGATGATATATCATACAAAACCTCTAGATGGCCTATGCATTTATCAAATTGCCATTTCAAAAGTTAATCGTAAAAGAAACACAGTGATAATCGTTATTTAGTTGAAAACAATCTCGATCGAGTAAAGGATATAAGGTGAATAGCTTGACGAATTCATTTGGCAGCCATGTATATATTCTGAATCCTTGGTGCTGGTATATAACATAATCGATCATCTACGAACTAGTGTATCATTCACAGTTGCTCGAAATCAATTTTTTGCAAGCTACTCAATTTTCATAGGAAATACGATGCATGCAAAAAGACATCATCTCGACCAAACAACTTTCAGGTTCAATTCGAAAAATTAATTCTTGCACGCCATGTACAGATTTTAGTTCAACGATTCGTCACCTGGACCAACGGATCGAACTGGATGACGATGGTGTTGAAGAGTGACACGTCATCGCCTTCTTCGACCGCCGTGCCGCAAGTGTCCAGTGAAATACGGAAACCGTATGAGCTGCGTGCACTGTTGTGCTCCACGTATCTGCTTCGTAAAACGATATTTAACGATCTTTGTGAACAAAATTGGAGTAGTTAGTACTCGAAAAGTCAACTATCGGTTAAGTCTCAAAAGACTAAGGGAGAACTAAGATTAGTGAACGAATTTGAAATATTTGCAGTCTCATTTACATTATTACCGTTTAATTGAAATGTACACAAATAAAATTACGAGACTCACCGTACTTGTCAGCTGTCAATGAGAAGAATCCTCTCAACAGAAGGAGGTAGAATAAATACATAAACCTTCTACAGAAGATATCCAGCGATTCAAGATGAGGGAAAAGTAGAAAGTCAATTACGATTCGCGAAGAAATATAGCATCAGACAAAAGTAGCAAGACATGACAACATCGGGCTGCATATTGGTACAATCGAGGCTTGCCATTCTATTTGCTCAGAATCAAACTAAACTTCTTCCACTCATACATGGACGAATTGTTCTGCTCATCATTCTCCCAATACTCGTCTTAATTGTTGAAAATATGAACATTCTAGTAAACATCCAATTACAAAAATGGGATTACAAATTATTGTTATTCGTGTAAGATATAAAAAAACAAACATCAATATATTGATTGCTAGGAGTTTTGCAGTTTTTTGCCTATGTCGAGGCGCATGTTGCATGTTGCGGCTGGGAACGCAGCACTCCTGACGGCATTTGGGTGACGGTGGCAAGGGCCTTTGTGGCCCTGGCCACAACAGTAAATTTGCAATCTGAAATTGCAAGTCATTTTGATACATCTACATCATTGCAACCACATTTAGACATAACTAAAGTTATTTTAACGTTTCTACCGCCATAAGTGAGTTATATTCTCGTAAAAATAAGTTTCCTTAATTTACGTCTGACACGGCGGTCATCCAATCTTGCGTATCAGCTTATGAAAATAATTAAAATGTTATTGCTCATGTGTTGACTTCATTAGAAATGTCGAACCCTTCAATGTTTTAATTAATCAAGAGCAGAAAAAATAGGGAATCTGATGAAACATACAATTTCGGAAAACGTTAGAAAACGCTTTTAACGCCAATGAAAGGTTTCAACAGTTATAAAATATATTATGATGACGTTTATTCTCTGCCAATTACCATGAATCCTAAAAGTGTTTTGCAGAAACAGGAGTTTGCTGCTAAATGGATCGGTTATCATCACATCTATCAAGATTATTCTTGATAGATGTGAAGTATCAAGTGAAATCGATGTTAAATTGCATGGATAAAAAAAGTAAGTAGGTTTATTTCGTGTGTATTATAATCGTTAAATGTAATTGAGAAAATTGTCGCCTCTAATTCTCAGATTCTAGTTTACAAATCCTCATTCTATACATATCTACATCTCTATGGAATGCAGTACGGGAGCTTGTGGATGTTTCAAAGCTACCATCTACATTCTTGCAAATTGCACATTATATATGCTTGATTAAGCGGGACCTGAATCTCTCGTGAGATGTTTCCTACGGATAATTCCGACCAACACCGAAAAGACCACAATGATAAAAAATGCTAGAACACCAATTAAACTAGAGGACGTATTCGAATTCTGTACTTTAATTTTCTCTTCGTTATTTGCCTCCCTCTTGAATCTTGACACATCAGCTGGATTTGAAGCCGGGTCTTTAACTTCGATTACATTAGAAACGGTCAAAGTTTTGATTGAGTGATTCGGAAGTTCATTGAAGAGATCGCGACGTTTCCGAGAGGGAGATTTCAGACTTGTGAAAACATCTGCCGTCAACCTGGCACCATAAGGCAATCTTTTCCGGAGGGGGCGCTGATGTAGCCAGCTGTGAAAAGCATGATTTTCAAGATTTGGAAGTGGTTTCGAAGGATGACCTTGAGTTTGCACGCAATGCGGTCGGATATCATTGCTTCCTGTGCAGTGAGCTTCCTCTGCTTGCGGGCACGACGGATGTTTGGGGTTTCTGTCACAACATAGCCGTGATCCTGGATTCGAGATGCATTGGCTAACATCGGGCTTTGGTTTCGGAGTGGGTGGTAACTTACAACTTGCATGCATTGGCATCAAATCGCAGCATTCTTTGGAGCCGGGCGAGGATACACAAATTGCGGCAACAGTATTAGTGCCAATTGAACTATCTGGTTCAACATTGGGTTGCCTGCAGCTAGGATGTCGGAAATTTGTGATGCAACATAAGTCGCTTCCAGGTGATTCTACGCATGGATCGGGACGCAGTGTTGTAGTATAGCCTTCGTTGCAACTTTCATGTTTTCTGTTAATTGAACAACATTCGTAACTTCCAGGAAATCTAATGCAAGGATCAAAGTAAGTAGGCTTAAACGTGGTCGTGACGCAGCTAGGATGTTGTTTATTTGAAGAACAACATTGACTTGAGCCAGGATTACTTATACATGGATCATCCGCGGTAGGTCTGGCACAAGATCCATGAGTAGGATTTATTATGCAACACAGAGGGCTTCCAGGGCCTCGACTGCAAGGGTCTTCTTTCGTCGTCGTTGTAGCATCAGGCCTGCAACTCGCGTGAGACGCCTGGACTGAACAACATTCGTAACTGCCAGGGAATCTTACACACGGATCAAAATACGTTGGCCTTACAGTGGTCGTACCACAACTAGCGTCAAATGGATTACGATTACAGCACTGAATGGACCCTGGGTGCAACCTGCAGAGATCAACAGATGTAGTAGGCCTTTGGGCAGTAGTCCTTAACGTTGTAGTAACACAACTGAAATGAGAAGGATTGCCTGAACAGCATTGATTGGATCCAGGATTTTGTTGGCATGGATCGGCTCTTGTTGTGGGCCGGGAAGTTGTAGCAACACAACTGAAATGAGAAGGATTGCCAGAACAGCATTGATTAGATCCAGGATTTTGTCGGCATGGATCCGGTCTCGTGGGCCGTGAAGTTGTAGAAACACAACTGAAATGAGAAGGATTTCCTGTACAGCATTGATTGGATCCAGGGTTTTGTCGGCATGGATCGGCTTTTGTTGTGGACCGAGAAGTTGTAGTAACACAACTGAGATGAGAAGGATTACCTGAACAGCATTGATTGGATCCAGGATTTTGTTGGCATGGATCGGCTCTTGTTGTGGGCCGGGAAGTTGTAGTTACACAACTGAAATGAGAAGGATTGCCTGTGCAGCATTGATTGGATCCAGGATTTTGTCGGCATGGATCGGCTTTCGTTGTGGGCCGGAAAGTTGTAGTAAAACAACTGAAATGAGAAGGATTGTCTGTGCAGCATTGATTGGATCCAGGATTTTGTCGGCATGGATCGGCTCTTGTTGTGGGCCGGGAAGTTGTAGTAATACAACTGAAATGAGAAGGATTACCTGAACAGCATTGATTTGATCCAGGCGAATATTCGCACGGTGATGGAGGGTCAAATGTTGGTTTGCAGCTCAGGTGTTCTGGTTGATAGCGGCAACATTCCAGAGATCCTGGATTTATGTCACATAAATCCTGTGGAGAGGGTGTGATGCAGCTTGGATGATTTTTCTCTGTGGAACAACACTTATTTGAGCCTGGTGAAACTGAGCATACGTCAATTACATCAGTACACACTGGTGAAACACAACCTCCTTCACAAAGCTGTACCTCACATGATAGGAAAACATCCATTTTATCTGGAAATTTGAATGCATATAGTGTTGCAAATGCTATAAGATCTGCACCAGAAGTTCCAGTAGCGTCTGTCTTCAAAAACTGGCCCATGAGTTTTGGTTTTGTAGGACAACCGTTTTCGTTAGAGAGTTGAAGTTTTATTGTCTCTGGACTTTCAGTGTCTTGAGAGTCATATGCATAACAATTTTTCACAAGCATATCATACTCTCCTCGCCCATCTTTCGTGTAAACAACAACCGTCATTTCATCCCCTATGTCTACGATTCCTTGCACGGCATTAGAAAATGGTCCTTTTCCGAGCTTAATGTCCATCCAACACTCGACATCGTCTGCGTTATATCTGATTTCTTCCGCTTGCAACATTCCTACAGAAAATGGTTTGAAGGAAATCACTTTTTCTTTCCTTTTTTCAAAACTGCATGTAATTTTGCGAGCTGTGTCCCACACTTCTTGAAAATGCTGGTCATTTTGTATCATAATTATATTTTGTAAAGTACTCTCGGACAGGTTTTCTCCTCCACATCGATTCTTCGGAATGACGAATGTGTAGGAAGACAATCCCTGGTTTGCTTCAACAAATCTGGAGAGAAACATGCAGTTTCGTTTATGAGTCTAAGTCTATGTAAGGCATAAAATTTCATGAAAGTTCCTGACTTTTATTTCAAATAAAAACCTGCCATATTTCAATCATAGGCATAAATTTTTATATATATCTCATATGTCACAATTCTTAATCGAACAAGTGCCAACTTGAAACTTACTATTTACTTAAGATTTAGTGATATCTTGAACTCACCTCTTCAAGCACAAAGTTCATCAGCAAAAAAGGACAGTGTCAGAAGAAATTGTCATACGAAATCAGTCACTTCACATTGAATTGTAGTCAAGTAGAGGACATATCAGTAAAAACCATCAATTTTATTTTATTTGTATTCTCAGTAAAAAGGTATAATTTAAAATCCATTGAAGTAGGGCTGGTTTTGCGAACAAGCATATATTTGTTTAAGGACAGAATTCTCCTATGATATGCTTAAGAGACTATAGTGAGGTGTTGATGCATAATTTAAAAATTGAGTTATTTTGAGTTAACTTGGGAAAATAGTACACATATACGCTTATCACTAATACAAAAAATTAAATCTGATGCTCACTGCATGTTACATGCTGACATCAGTGTTATGCCAAATATTTGAATGAATACATGGCATATGAAGGTGTTTCTTTGTAAGGTATAGGCTGCTGTATCGCGCGGCTCATTTGTTGTTGGCTTTCTTCAACTTTACGTATAAGCAGACAAATACAACCAGGAATAACAGACATACGCTTAGAAGCACGATGAAGCTTAAAATTGCCGTTGGAGTGAGACAAAATAAGTTTGAGTGATAACTTTTGTTGTCATGTGATTGCACAGGAAAATCTTGTGCAGATACCACAAACATCGATCTAGTCAATTGTACCGGAACTTTTTTCTCCGATAACAATGGAAGCTCTGTTTCTTCAACTGAACGAGCAGATCTCGCAGTTTTTGTCTTGGGAAGAATTTTCTGTCCAAAAATTCTTGAACGTCTCCCATCTCCTCGTTGATAATGGAAATTATGAAAAGCGTGATGACGCGATTCACCTTCCCATTCCGGTCCAGTGGGCTCGGGTTTACTTTGAGGTTCACTACCAATTTCCTTTCCTCGATTTGGAGACTTAGTTGGTGCAGGTTTAGGTTTCAATTGTGGACGCGGTGATGTGGGTTTTGGGGTCGTGATGGGTTCACCAAACAAGATTCCGCCAGATCGTTTAGGAGTGGTTTTTGGTGGTGTTGATGGAACTGTGAAGGGGGTTGTTGCTTCCGTAGTAGTGGTCGATGCGGGAGTTGTAATTGTTGCAGGGAATAAAATTGACCCATATCGCCCATCTTTAGTAGCTGTTTCACATTCAGGGTGGAGAGAGCCAGGGAAACATTTCTCCGTTGTGGTAGTTGGACATCGTGGATCGCTTGACCCCGGATAACAAAGGGGTGTCTCTGTGGTAGTAATGACGGGCTTCGTTGTTTTGGGGATGTTGAGGTTTACTAAACAATTCGGATCATTAGTTCCTGGAACACAAGTACCAGTATCTGGGAACAATGCCTTGCCCTGCTTAGGAGAATCGCATGCAGGGTCTCTTGAGCCAGGATAACATTTTGGCTTGGGTGGAGGCAAGGTGATGTACGGGCATCTTGGGTCAATAATTCCTGGTCTACAAATGAATGGAGTCTGCGTAGTACTTTGAGGGCATTCGGGACTTGTTGATCCAGGCGGACAGTAGGGTGTAGGTTTAGTTGTGTAAATGGGTTCTCCAAATAAGGTACTTCCAGATCTGCGCGGCGGTTCAGTGGTCGGTGCAGAGCATTTGTTATCACATTCTCCTTTGCAAACTTCAACGTTGCAAGTCATATACACATCCATGACATCGGGAAATTTAAAAGCATTAACGTAAGCATAAGTTACTATAATAGATCCAGATCCGTCGTCTTGTCGAGTAGTGAAAAACGAGCTGATCAGTTTATCTTTCAGTACGCAACCTTCTTCGTCTGTCAGTTGTAAACGGGGAGTTGCAGGATTGTCAAAATCTGATCCAGCGAAAGCGTAACAGTCTTTAGCAGACACGTCATACTGCCTCTCGTTGTCTCTGGCGAACACAAGCAGGGAAAGAGAATCCCCTATTTTTACGATGGAGTTGATGTCCTTAACATTGGGCCATTTTCCGAGTTGCAAGTCCATCCAACATTCAATAGGTTGATCTCCCTGGAATTTTACTTCCTGGGATTGTAGCATTCCTACGGTGAAAGGATTGAAGTTGACAGTTTTTACGTAGTTGTCTACCCAGTCACACGTAATTGTTCTAGCCACGTCCCAAATTTCTTGAATGTACTTGTCGTTTTGAACGATGATTGTATTAGATAGTTCAGTACGAGATGCATCTTCTGGCACTTGCTCCATTACAGAACCGCATTCGTTACTGGAAATCCACAGCTTGTAGGATGATTGACCCGAGTTCTCCTCCACGTACCTGATATCAGTCGTCAAAGAGTCACATATTGACAGAGAAAGAAGGAGAAGGAGGATCTGCAGGGCCGAAGAAGACACGTAAAGATTTACGAAAGCGCAAGAACATTTATCTGGAAGATTGAAAGTGGTAGAAGTGTTTTGGATCCGTCATGTAATGTCATTTGATCAGTAGTGTCAGCAAACGAAGTCCAATTAAGGTCAGGAGTGAGCAAGGCAGGGATGCAATATTAGCGTATGAGACACTAAGGAAAACGCAGTCGAATGCTAGAAGCAACTTTATTTTCAAACCATCAGAACTCATACAATGGCACTAACCTAAAACAACAAACCAACAATTGGTTAAGCAACACACTTGCTTGATAAACGCATATTAGAAGCTTGGACTGTGGGCAAACTTGAGCAATGCAGAAGCAGGAGATTGAATTTGATCAAGTAACAATGAGACTACGCGCATCATTTGCAACTAAAACGGCAAGCCTCGGACGATCTGACGACGGTCACGATCGGATCACCAGCTAATGCGAAGACCAGCCACAAATCATGGAGGAGAAGAGTTAAAAGGAAAATGGAAAGTTTATCAAGAAAGCTTCCATGCAATTTATAGGTTTAAACATTTGTTTATAGGAAATGTTTAGCAAAAATTTTAGTTTAATATATTGACAGATTTATTTAATGTGTAACTACTAAGTCTCATGGTTACTTGTTCAGATTGGGTTTGTAAATAATAAGTTTAATGTTTGACTTGAAAAAGTGATGCGAAAGATTTAATTCCCTTTCAAAGGACCCACAGCTCACTCTTTTTCAGTGAATGCTAACAACTGGCAAAGAACTGAATATCATCTGAAATCCTTTGATATTGCATTTAAGCAAAAAATATTTGCTTCGATACTATTAAATTGAAATGACTTAATTTTGCCAATGATATTATAATAAAGAGATATTAAAGGGATACAAAGAGAGTTTTAGAAGTATCTTACACGATACAAACACAAATTTTCAGAACACTCTAGCCAATAACTTACTAGAGAGCTGTTGTTATCTTCACATATAATAATGAAGTGTAAAAATGAGCCGTGGTTGCAGTGCAACGTTAATTTTTTTAATGAGTGTACGATATTAATGTTAACTCTTAAATTTTGTTATCATGTGTAGAAATATAGGTGCAAATTGATACTTTAATACTTAAAAACCCACCCATCCCATCACACATGCTATGAATGTGTTAAAACCTCGTCATGCCCAGCAGAGAAAACTACGACAACTCATGCAAATTACTCCACTCTACTTCCGCAGTTAATATGTGTTATTAGCAGGGCGCAGCATAATTGAGAATATAACATTTTATATATTCTCAACTATTATTATTTAATTCTGATGTTATTTTGGGTACCATTCCGATAGCCTCGATAACAAAATAAAGATGGAACAAATACGTATGTTATCCTACGATACCAAAAGATTTTAAAGACAAAACAGACAACTATTTAATAGTGAACCAATATCAAATACAGAAGCCCACACAATCACGTGTTCAAATAGAGTTGCCGATAACCATAACTTTATGACGATATAGAGGATTCTGCTTATTTCGCTTAGTTTTTTTAAACTTAAGCAATGATTAGAAGAATTCAATTCTTTATTGCTATAAGTGTTGAAAACATTTATTCGTGCATTGACACGCACGGTAACAAGGAAACCAATCAGTTATTGCGATTAAAAGTTAATGAATCATAACTATTTGAGGTTTTGATATATGATGGCTGTTTTAATGGGCTAAACATGCATGGATCAAGTTGAAAAATTTTCACTCGCTATTGTCAGGCACGATGGTGCAAGGGATGGAGCTATTCAAATTTACCACAAACGTATATTCTTGTTATAATTAGAATTAATTTAGAGTAACGATATTGTAGTAAAAAACTTTAATCTACAATCTGTTTTCATCCACTGCTTGAGCTCAAAGGTACACAGTTATTAAATCTAATTTTTATACGTTAATATATTCTTTCTTGTTGATAGCTCTTAATGTTACGTTTAATTCATCTCATTTGACCGAGTTTTCGGTATCAAAAACTTGTCCCATGCATGAATGTGTGTTACTCGTGCGTTCATTAATAGCAGGAAAAGAAGCTGCATTGTCATGTTAGGAGTTCTTCTCACATTGTCAGTTCGGATGTTGATACCAAAGTGTTGATACCAATGTAAGAAAGTGTTCGGTTTAAGTGAGTAATAAGGTTTTAAAAGAGAAAAAGGAGCTGCAGAGCGAAACACTGTGTTGCTAAGATGTCTGCGCGTTAACACTTGATTGTTTAAATACAGAATTTCGCTTAAACACGCGTGAGAAATGGTTAATCGCATGGCAGCTCTCGTTTTTATGGACCCAGTTAATTATCATGGTTATGGTTATTAAATTCAAAAGTTGAATAATTTTTTAGAGCGTTTTGTCCTGCAGCTCGTGGATCACGTTGCGTTGGATTTTGCAGTGGTTAGTTCGGAGGATTCATCGTAGGAATTCAATGTATAGAGACACCAGAAATCCAATTATTTTTGTCTTTATAGTCAGTCCAGCGTGTAAGATGAAGTGAGACTGTGGAGTGTACGAGATACAAGCTTGAGAAAGAAAGTTTAGGTGAAAGATTTAAAGAACACTGAAATAATATCTATTTAAAAAATAATATTTTAGATTTTTTATATAAGACATTAAAAGCCGAAACATGGGAAGACAAAAAATTTAGAGAAAAATTTAAAACATTCATTTATCAATATTTCACGCAGTTTTATTTCGCCTTATTTAGAATATTCATTTAACTCACCGTGCACTGCAAGCTTAATTATAAAGCTCTTGCTGAAAGAGGCATTAATGCGGGAACAGCTCAAGCTTTTATAAAAATGTAATTGCATTTTAATGTGAACATTTTGCTTGAGAATATTAATGCCGATTCTACAACAGGAAAACCTCAGAACTCTCGACCAATCTTTGGTTGGCCTTTGTGCCTATCTTTCATAGGAGAAGCTCAAATAATTTACTCGGATTCGTGGGCATCTTTTAGCTTAGGATGTTAGTTGAATTATGCTTCATGTGGAAGATTCAATGTCACCATCATCACTTGTGGAGCGTGAGGTTTTCCTGCTTGTCATTGCACATTTAAACAAGCACATCTAAATAGATAACAAAATGCGTAGCTAAGATATTGGTTTACGCTACGTTAAGCCGAGCTATGCTAATCCATTGCCTGTTCAGCTCGAGAAAGCGAAGATTGTATAATATAAAGGCTCATCCTAAATCGTATGAGTACTGACCGACATGCAGGGTCCGAGTAATATCCTTTACTGAAGATTATTCCGTTGAAGGGTTGAGAGAAATCGATGGTGACCGTCATGCCGGCCTTATCGCAAATAACATCGAGGTCGGTGATCATAGCCATGTTCATCATCGCCCCTCCGGCCTGCGGTGACAGACATGTCACCGCCTGGAGGTGGTAGAAATGCATGGTTTTAGCAGTGGAATATAGCGGGTGAGGAAGATTAGTAAAAATATTCATATACGGATAAGAAATCTCCCATGATATAAATGAGAATTAGGAGAAGCCAATACCAATTTATTATTTATTGTTTCACCACTCATATTACTTGTCACTTCCTGTGGCTGCTTCAATTATTACTCAATCTGTTTACCTAATTTCGGCGTCTCGCGTCTATTGAGGAAGTAAATAAAATGTCCGTGTATCAAGTCTATACATTAGTACGTAAGCTAAAAAAATAGTCGATTTGAATTTCTTTCCCGTGAACTCTGATAACCAAAACAGCTGGGAAACATCTAAGTTAAAAATCAAGATTTCCATCAGAGGAGTCGAACTTGGTGTAAATTAGAAAGAGATGCATAGATTTTGCATATATTCACAAAGCCATAAAAGATCAAGACGAAGAAGCATCATAAGTGTGTCATGGCAGACGGCAGCTGCATGAAGATGACCTTGCGTGCGCAGTTAACCAACCAACTTTCTCGTAACTTTAGGCCAGTAGTGGTCAGACGATCTCTCCCTTCCAATAGTCAGAAGCCTTCTGATCCCAGCTTACTTAAAAAAATTTAACTCAGTACTCACTGCAGTGAGTGACAGAGAACGCATTTTCTCGTCGACGAAAACTTGAGGTTACGGACGGACGGACAGACAGACGGACATGGCGAGCACAATAGTGCATTTTTTCCATAAATGTGAAAATGCGCTAAAAATTGTTACCCATAATCATAATCAATCTCATTTAAGCTTGTTAAAGCTTGTGTGTTAGTTTGGGTGTTTTTTAAGCCGGACGCTAGAAATATTTACGGGTGTTTGAACCCGTATTCATGATACCATAAGCCCGTACTCATGATACTAAGCCCGTATTCACGATATGATACCTGAAACTAAAATTTTGTTCATAGTGGGACATATTAATTCATTGCAAAAACGACTAGAGAGAGTTGGAACAAAAATATCAACTTCTATATTGGTATTTATAAATTTCAAAGCAGAAGATGAAAAAATAGTCGAATGGGAATTGTAATTAAAATGCAAAATTTTGGTTAGTACCATTTTTTTCATTAAAAATTTCTAATTTTATTCATATTAGCGGGAATCGTGAAAACGCCATTCTAAAATTTCAGCAATTATTGATCAAGGGCAACACTGAGCTGAACGAGCTGAATAAAAAAAAAAGTTTTTTTTGTCAGATCAACAAGACTTGTTTTAGATTTACTGCAATTTCTTTCTCAGTTAATATTAGATTTCGTATTCACCGGCGCAGTGTTGATCAAATTTTAGTAGCGATGCTACTTCGTCCTTGAGTGGCAATGACTGTAAATGCTTCTATCTCCTTGCCTCATTATATCCATGGTCGGCCAGGTGAAAGGTAACCTGCCAACGCATTTCACGTTTCGATTTATCAAATAAAAATAATGCTTTTATTTCAGTTGATAAATCTCTATGACAATTTTCATTATATAATTTTTTGATAAAAGGATAAGAAGGTTACTCTAATTATTTCAGTACTAAACTCCAAACGATTTATAATTGATTATTTCCAGATTGTACTCATCTCAGATCAACAAATGTTTATGAGGAGTTAAGTTTCGAATTTTTGTGAATGTACATGAAGGAGCAAGTTCATACAATGAATTACGTTTGACTCTAATGCCTTGCTCTAATGCTTGAGGTTCTATCACGATAAACATAGGCCACGATATATCGGCGAGGCATGGTTGTTAGCCGTCGGCAAGGTTACAAGTGTTCAGCAAAAACAGAAATGAACTTGTGAGGCGCAGGATTGGCAGTATTTAACGAGAAAAATAAGAGGTCGCGGAGGAGAAGTTGTTGCCTCTAAAGATGACCTACTGACCTTACGATCATGGTTAAGAGTTCTTAGATAATAGCGCTAAAGTGGCGGTAAAACTAGCCCCTTTTATTCGTTTGTGAGAAGCCACGCAACTGACATACACGGCGGACACGCAGGCTTTCACAGCGAGTCTCAGAATAGCGGGGCATCTGCAGCGCCAATACAAGACGCTGCATTATCCATTATTAGCTCGATGTTTTGAAAGTCTGCGGTTATTCCAGAGTCAATATCTATTATCCAGAGTATATAAGCTCTTCAAGCTCAGAGTATGTAAGCTAAAGAAATATCACTGGTAAGAGAAGCTTGTAATTTCAATTTAATACGTTATTGAAACCTTCAGTTTCATTTACATTGTTGTAGAAGAGAATTTCAAATTCATAAGAAAATTTACCACGAAATGATTTAGTGAAATTTGAGCTCAAACACTAATTGTGTTTTACTTCAGCAGAAACATGATGGCATTATGAAATATTACCAAGTAGGTTTTAGAACTAAGTGCGCATGAGTGGCAATTGGCATAAAAATAGAAGTGACCGTGCCCTAATGTTATCGAACATAAGGAGAAATTAGCGTATTAGTGTGCAACGTAGTGAAAATTTCCTTTCTAGATCTGGAAGATCTCGAAAGGCAACGGCCATATTTCCAGAATGTGACATGAGGTCATTGCGAATCCAACAAGGCCAGAACACTGTAATTGCTCTCTGATGCAACATTCGCGCTTCTCAGCTACATTTTAACTCGAATTCTCAGCTACAAATAACTCGAATTTATACTAAGTGTGAAACTAGCAGTGAGCTCACATCACTGTCTGCTAAATTCGTTACCGTTCAGTTATACTGTCGTTCAGCCAGTAATACTGTCGTTATGCAGCCACCTAGCAATAGTCGTACAAACAATTAAAATAAATTTGACAGCTGTTATTAACAAAAGGTTAGACGAGGCATGGAGAGCAAAGCCTCATAAAGAAAAAAAGCCATTGGAATGTTAGATGATACATAGTTCTAACCCTAATTATTCATATTAGTTTGACGTCATAGTTTTGCTCATGGTTGTTCTTATGACATAAGTTTTATTCTCTACACCAATGCAATGCTGCACAAGTTTTTCATTTCACTACTGCAGAGATGTTTTTTCAAAATCGACTGAATTTTGATTTTCTTGCCCAGTACCATTTAGTTAAAAAAACACTGTAAAATTCTCAGTGTTAAGCAGAAACAGAGAAATGTTCAGAGAAACAGAGAAATGTTCTTCGGCTGAGACTGATTGAACTGCGTAATACAATTTAAATATTTAGCCATCAACTTCGTAGGAGATCGGGAATATTCTTTGAAACAGAGTTAACGGTCCTTGTATTTCCAGTACTGCGCGCCTATTACTGCGTTGCAAAGAAAAAATATTCGACACGCAGCATAAAAAAGAAAAGGACACAAATTTCGAAAGCTCTCAATCATCCTGCAATCGTGTTTTTTTGCTACAGGCAAATTGGTTGAGATTGCAGTCCACGTGGAACTCTAATCATCATTGCACTAAATGATGAAGGCTTGCATTGTGCTGCGTGCGCCAATTGTGACATTACAAAAGCCAAAGAAAAACTTTGAAGTCTCGATAAAACTCCTCATATAATTGTTAGCTCATATTTTTATGTGCAGTGTCCAATAACTCTCTGTATGGGCCCTTCTCTCAGGCCACTTCTTCATGTGAGGTCAGATGCATCAATTTTCTGAGCCAACCTACATGCTGGCATTGCGAGCTCTGATGGAAGAGGCCACTTCTTGAGTCAGCTTCGCACCTGACTCCTCAACCTAGATACGATACTGGGATCTGGGGCTATCTATATACGAGGTGCTCAATCAGCAAGAGTGTGCAAGCACTCCAGCACATCATGGATTTTCAAATGTCTTGAAAGAAAGACATTTCAAATGTTCAAATGTCTTGAACATTTGAAAAATGAAAGAAAAAAATTCGTTGTACATTACTATGGATCATAATTCTCAAAAGAGCTAGAAGCATGAAATTTAAAATACTGGTAAATTTGTATAAGTTAATTGAACTCGGTTCAGCTATTAACTGAGTATATCTTTTGATTAAATTACCAAGTCCAATCGAGCTTATTTAACCACAGTATTCGACGTAAATAAAACGTAATGCGAAATGTCATTATATCATTTGCATATCATTTGCATGTCTCTAACTAAGTTTTGTTGGTCGATTGCGCTCTTCAAATTTGTTTCAAATGCTCCTCCAACGACATAGCTTGAAAAAAAATTCACTAGTTAGCATCATATAATTTTCGTACGAGTACAACTACAAATGTTTTCAAGCAATTTTGAAATATCTGAGGAAGCACAAAGAGTTCAACAAGCGACTCCTTATACAAGGGCTGCTTCACATGCAGAGAAGTGACCGACCGAATAAGCCAGCATCTACCAGACTACAGCGCCTGAGACCGTCTGCCCTGCCAGAGCATAACTCACGAGCAGCTTCCACGGAGGGAGAAGGGTGCATGATAGATTGTCCAAAATGTCTCTTAAATAAACAGAGAAATGTTTACGCTAAAGAGCTCGCCATATTCTTTGAAGGAGCTTCGTATATCATTCATTCAGATGGTCTAGTCGTAGTTGAATGCAAAATGAGCATCAAAAGTTTTTTTTTATAGAATGAAAGACCATGGAGCGTGCGTGTGTTTAAAATTCTAACGTCATTAAATGCATGAGCATCGAATTAATATGTCGATTCGTATCAGTCAGTCTAGCTGGTATGACCTACGATTGCCACAGAGCAGCGAAAAACCTTTTCTCGGTTATTAATTTTGCAGGCGCCCATAACTGGATGATGTGGGCCCCGGGGTGAACACTGAACAGCACAATGATTTGCTACAGATGTGGGCACAAAAAAAAACAACTGCAAATTTTGATTACTTGTAGGGGTACGCATACGCGAAGAACAAGAATCTTTAAGTAGTTGCAGCTGTGTGCACACGTGAAGAACAGCAAGCTCTAATTAGTAGCAGCTGTGTGTACACGCGTAGAACAAATAGAATAAATTACGCGTGAGGCTAAAAAATCGTAACCATTTTCTGAAATGCCAAAATTATTTA